GCCACCTCGGCTCTAAAAAACACTAAACACATACCAGACTTCTATTCACTCTCTATAGAACAGATATGGCTATAGGCCCTTTTCCATTTTTTATATCCTAAACAAACTACAGGCGGTGCTCAACTTACGACCGTTGATTTAGTGACCGTTCAAAGTTACAATGGCACTGAAAAATGTGACTTAGGACCATTTTCCATGCTTAAAACTGTGGCAGCTTTCCTGTGGTCACATGATCAAAATTCAAATGCTCGACAACTGACTCATATTTATGACGGTCGCTGTGTCCCGGGGTCACGTGATCCCATTTGGCTACCTTCGGGCAAGCAAAGTCAATGGGGAAGGCAGATTTACTTAACAACCGTATTACTATCTTAACAACTGCAGTGATTCACTTAACAACTGTGGCAAGAAAAGTCATAAAACGGGGCCGAACTCATTTAACAAATGTCTCGCTTAGCGAGAGAAATTTTGGGCTCAGCTATAATCATAAACTGAGGACTATCTGAACATGTGCATTTCTGTGTGTGTCTGCGTGCATACTTCATATACTGCGTATACTTTATGCAATTCAATTATTAATATTTATGCCAGTTTCATAAACTAGTAAATGCAATCCAACTCTCTAAAGGGTTCTGAAACATAATTCCTAGAAGTAAAATGCTAATTCAAATATAAATAAATGAGTTATTCAAACCATTGGGGGGAAAAAAGATATGCTTCTAATCTTGTAGCCTTGCAACATAAAAGCATCCAAGATTCATTGATTTGTCTTCCAGCTTCTTCTGAAGCTATTGATAAATTATTACAAAGCCCAAAAATACCAATGAACGTATGAAGTAACTTATATTATAAAGGCAGTTATATGCATACAAATATTACACTACATTTCCCCGCAAAAAAATAATAATAATGCACAAGCCAAATTGACTTAATTTCTTCTTTAAAAGACAAGATGTCAGATAGTAAGTTAAATTCATCATAATTTATGTAGAATGTAAGATAACTTGAACTGACCGTTTGAATGGCCAATTCCCCTTTGGGAAGATAGGATGAATGGGGATTAATAAGAATAATTAACTATCAGTTGAAAGTGAGAAGAAGCATGAATGAAGAATTATAGGCCAGAATAATTGGAGAAGGAAGTACTCTAGGGGGGTTTATCAATCTAACAAAATTAAAATACATACAGATTGTAATCAGCCAAGAGTAGAACGAAGGGCAATAAATTCAGTCTTCACCATATTAAACAGGAATTATGATGCTTTTGAGTCAGCAATTTTTGGAAGGAAAAAGTCTTCACAATGTAGTCACAATAGCCTACACAACCTTTCTGTAGCTGGAAATTTCCGTTTGAGGAGTCCTTCCTACGAAGGGAAGGATTTCCTGCTTTCACAGGTCATCCTTGACTTATAACAGTTCATTTAGTGACCGTTCGAAGTTACAACGGCCCTGAAAAAGACAACTTGTTTTCGGGGAAACACGGTATTCGAATCTGGGTTGAAATCTTTTTGAATATCCAGCTGCTTTTAAAAACATACTGTGTTTCCTCAAAAATAAGACAGGATCTTAGTTTATTTTGACCCCTGAAATAAGCGCTTGGCCTTATTTTCAGGGAGGTCTTATTATTTTTGAGGTGCAGGAGGAGGAGAGTGTGGTCACCTCATAGCTGCTGCTGTTGCAATATTTTTGGGGAGGGCTTATTTTGGGGAAGGGCTTATTTTAGCGCATGCACTCAAAAGCCCAATTGGGTTTTTGAAGTCTTATTTTCAGGGAAACGGGGTAGGAAGGAAGAAGAAATATGAGGTGGTGGTTTGTAGTGCAAAAAAAATAAGAAAAAAAGGATAAATCTCGTCTACCACAGCTTATTATGGGAAAATGAGAATAAAACTCCCTGCGAAGAAGTTGACAGATGTTGCCCAAATATCAACAATGCTTTCTAACCCAAAAGCAATCTGTTTGCAAATGCAAAAGGAGAATCTCCCCGAAAACACAATTTTTCATCTTTTAGGATTAAAATAGACCAGGCTCCATATGTTAAGGCGCAGGCCTTGAAACTCCGTGAATATCTTTTGATGTAGGAAGGGCTCCAGCTACATCTTATTTAAGACTGGAATAGCAACTACAAAAACTGGTATTAATCTCAGAGAAACCTAACGGACATATTTCAAAGAGCAGGAAAAGTGTTGTCGAACAAACACACAAAAAAATAGAATACTACAGTAAATGCCTATAAAAACCTTACTAGCGCACCCCCCCACACACATTTTTGACTGGAAAATGCAGGACCTGAGAGTTAAAACACTTCCTTCGACAAATTAAATAAGGATTCTTACCCAATCCGTGTTTGTTTGTTTGTTTGTTTGTTTCTAAACTCTGGCAAGTTAACGCTAAGATCACACAAAACTTCACCTGTTCTGCCTTTCAATGTTTTGCAGTTCCCTGTGGTCCCTTTTCAAGTGCTTGGTCAGCGAGGTGAAATATTCCTTCAGCAGGTTTTGGAAAGGCTGCTGCTTCTCCGCGCTGATGATCTCGCTGGGGGGGAAGCTCAGGCTGAACTTATCCGCCGCGCTTTTCACCTTCCTGGGCACCAAGCCCGCGATGTCGTCCCCGCAGTGCCGGCAGAAGCTGATGACCACGGAGACGTGGGTGTGGGTCTCCCGGTCGGCGTTGATGATGCTCTTCAGCTGCTCGTAGATGAGGGAGAGGCCCTCCTTGTCGGTGAAGATCCCGACGATGGTCAGCTCGGCGATGAAGCGCAGGTCGGTCCTCAGCTTGGTGATGTTGGGCGTTTTCTCCTCTTTCCTGGCTTCGAAGTGCTTCTTCCAGACCTGGAGCAGCGAGGGGGCGAAGTCGGCGTAGCGCTGGTGGAAGAGGGAGCAGAGGTGCACGGCGCAGTTGACATCGGAGATCTTCAGCTTGGCCTCCACGATGGAGGCCACGGCCTCGGCGATGTACTTGCTCAAGTTGAGGCCGTTGAAGTCATGGGACAAGGAGTCCCTCTGCTGCTCGGTGATGGTCTTCAGCTTCTTCACGAAGGCCGTGTTCTTCTTCAGGCTGGAATCCAGCCTGCTGAAGAAGTTCTCCTCCGGGCGGCTTTCCGAGGCGTTCTGGTTCTTGCTTCGAAGCTCCTTCCGGGCTTGGTGGCGCTCCCAAGCCTCCTGGTGCAGCTGGTGGGCCTCTTCTTTCTCTCTGGAAAAAAAAAGGACATTAACGGGAGGACAAGGTTTTATATATATATAAAACCAGCCAGGGTGAAAGGTATCTATTTAGATTTTACAGCCCCTGGTATGCCCAAATATGGGAGGAAGATCACTACTTCCATTCTCTGTCCTTCGGCTCGTCACAAGAGACTATTGGGTTCTGTCTGTCTGGTCTCTTGTGACGAGCCGAAGGACAGAGAATGGAAGTAGTGATCTTCCTCCCATATTTGGGCATACCGGGGGTTGTAAAATCTAAATAGCTATCTATCTATCTATCTATCTATCTATCTATCTATCTATCTATCTATCTATCTATCTATCTATCTATCTATC